GATGAGTGTAAAAGACATTCAAATAGTGTATGCATAACCTGGTACAAGCTGGCAACTTTGGTACAGGCACTGTTGCACAAATAAATACAACAGCTTTTGTAAATTATTTGTTTAAATATGTTTCAATATCCTGTCGTATGTTTAAAAAGGGCAAAGGTTGCTAAGTATATACGTAGAATATAAAACCTTTATTAAATACCAACAACCATCAGTGTGCATACAAGTGACAGAGTGAATATTCATATATGCATCTATCAATAACAAGAAATATAACCGTGCTTCTACAATATGTAAATTCCATTTTTAAAACCAATGAATGTAGACACACAGCACACACACTGAAAGAATATCAGCAAGTATGACAAGTAGGTCTACTAGACTACTAGTACTGAGATGCCAAATTCATTTCTCTTGAAATCGTGTATATGTTAAACTAGTAGTATATCAAACGGGGAGCACACTTTAAAAACGGAGTGGTGTGGTCACCACTGTAGCTGCATACAAACAAATTTATTACATGCTAGAATCTGTTACAAACGTGTTAGTATTTGCTATACAGATATTATTAACATGGTAAATACATAATTTGGATATATAATCAACTTCAAAAAATTAACCATGTTTATAAAATAGCACACTACAGTGATTTCTGGCAAAATCACAAGCAGCGAGACGAGACACGAACCTTTTACTCTCAATCTAGTTTATTTTCCTATCGGGTGGCTTAACATGACAATAATTATCTTTACTGCCATCACATCTCTATTGGCAAGAGTATAAAACGATTAAATCTAACAACTAGACACTGATGTTAGGGGGTCCTCGATATTAGATTACACTCTGCTATTCTTAATGATCACAATAGCTCTTCAAATATTCATAACCTTTAAAACATAGCACTAAGTTCTCTATGAATGGACACCAGTAAAAAAAAATTACTCAGGTACATCCACCACTGCACTATAAAAACAGTAGCCAGGAAATCAACATAATACCTCAGAAAAGTAGTTTCTTATGTAGTCACAATACCAATTAGTGGCTATAGCAGATAGAGGACGGCTTTAATCATGTCGCAGTCAATGTGCGCTAACATTCATAATATAAGAACAATTGTCAGGGAATTATTTGTCCATACAGACGATATCCATTTACATGACATCAATTGTCTAACAACAATAATATTCTCGACTACTTGGCATCAACAATAACTGAACCAAGCACTCACTATCTTCCTATAAACAGTGTCAAAATTATATTCAAAGTAAGTCATCTCTGGAAAAATCCTCTGCATCTGATTACAAAATCCATTTTATTACGCATGATTATTACAACCTCTATCTGATAACATGTTTATACACATTGTAAAATTGGCAACATGTATAACAGGCGTTGCCTAAAGCTGCCATTACTGCTCACTTGCACCATACTCAAATTGAAGTTAAAATGTTGTTAGCTACACCGATAACGAGCTCACTTGTTCTTCATGAACAATTTATCTTAATGCACCATTCTGTTCGCACATTCTAATCATGTTAATGTCTTATATCAGATGCAAGTTGAGGCATCAGGGCCTTACATATTCCACAAAGCTAGCAGGCAATTATGTATAATCTTGTTTACTAAGAGAAATTGCTGCTAATAGCTCTGTATAGACAGACTGCTAGTTTGTGCTGGTGGCACATGAAAGGTTGAGTACATCAGCTGCTCATTTTGAAACTTAAGAAAATCAATAAAGATAGGGTAATCTCACAACTGGTGAACGCTAATGGCTATGTACAGTGTTGGATACAATACGTATAAATATGGTATATAAGCTATAGATGATAACTACAGCTGGTGTGGAATCATTGTTTACCCTTATCTCAGCCGCCTAATAATGGAACACCTACATGTCACTCAAAAAAGTGGGAAGCCTTGTCAGTACATTACGATTCTGTATAAATGAATGATTATATATATGAGAGAGAGACAGCAAGATAAATGTGTGAATAATGTGTGTATGGATACTGATGGGTGTGGTCTTGCAACAGAGTGTAATCATTGTAATCTAAGGTAATGATAACAATGTGTCTGCCGCTCAGCAAGGACTGTGATGACAGCTGCGCATGAGAGGTATCAGGGAGCTAGTAGGACCTGCTTGCCTCAGGAATGGGTGCTGCAGCAATTCGAATGCCGTGCTTCGCTGAGTTGGGTCTCGCACGAGCATCTTGTCGAGGAATGCCTGAAGGCGTGGTGATATCTGTAACAATGCACCAAACAATAACAAGTGCCGTTCCAACATTAGAAAAATATACTTTTGCATTCTTCATTGTACTACTCAGTGAAACACCCAATATAATAATGTATATAATATCAAATAATAATGTATATATAAATAATATATAATAAAATATAATAATAATATATATAGTATTAAATATAAAACATACGAATTTGAAATGCTTAACAGTACTAGTTATGAATAAATCATAAGTGATACTATGACTTTATAGCAGTGCTTCTCACAAGAAGTTTGCCAATGACCCCCTTGTCTTGGTCACTGGGCACCATGGTCACCTATGTAACTTGACATCCACGGTGGTTGTGGTGCGTATGTACCCCCGGAAAAACTTTCTAGCAAAACTGTGTGAAATAATGCTATTCTATGCGCCAATAAACTGCTATACAGGTCATTTTACTTTATACGAGAATACAAAGCTGTCACATCAGTTCAATTACTGCTCTCAAACTTTTATAAGTGACCAATACCACAGTAACAATAAATTTTCCCAATGCAGTGACTAATCATACCCTGTGAGGATTCTTCGCCTTGGGTGGGGGCATGTCACGAATTCGTCGCATTGCCTGTAATGGTGGTTCGTTGAAATAGGGCGGCTCCTGATCAACCATCTCTATCACCATAATTCCCAATGACCAAATGTCCACCTAGAGAGAAATACAAGGGCTACTTTAACAGATTATACAAAAGCAGCATGTGAACACACGGAATTTTGCTCACCTTATTCCCTGCCTCCTAAGACGAGAATTTCCCCAAAAAAATATCCCCATAAACCATAACTTTATCTCATTGAAATAAAAAATTTATACGCAAATCTTGGGCCAGTTAGGTTAGTTGAGCACTGCTAAATTGCCTCGACTCTATTTTTGTTGCACATGGTTTAAACTGTGAAGTATATGTAAACTTTGACATAAGAATGCAACTTACATGTTAGCATTATAAGTTAGTGCAACTAGTTACATTAGTTAGCATGTGACAAAAACGGGATGCAACACAGGGTAGTATATACCCAACTTAGCCATAAAATCAACAACAGAAATTAGCCTGATAGAATGACACAGGCGCACAAGGTACCTCTGGTCCATAAGGAAGCCTAGATATGACCTCAGGTGCCATCCAGTACGGTGTGCCAACAAGGGACTTGCGCTTCGGAAGCTCAGATGACACCTGAGCGCAGAATCCAAAGTCTGACAGCTTCACCTAGAAATGATAAAAATGTAAAAATGTTACTTGCAATGATAATCAATAGTAATCTTTACTCAAGATGGAGAGATCTTAACTCCGAGTACAATACACTGATCACATTTGCTCAAGCCGCGACATTTTTCAGTGACCCAACTGCCATGGCAAGAGGAGAACTACTTCATTATCTACAGCGTAAAAATTACTATTAAACTAGAGAAAATACTCACAATATATGCAAATGATAATTATTCAACTACTGGTGATATTAGGAATGCTGATGTTTGTAGTCCACACTAACTGTTTTCAAAAGATTGGTCTCTGTTCGTATACATAAATCTCGAGCCATACCCTTGTGATAGCAAATGTATTCTTGTCATTTCTAAGCTGCTAACCATGAAATAAACTAAAGCAAGCATTTATATAATATAGCATTTGTGGCATTAGTATATTGCCCCTTTCCACACAGCACATGCTTCAGATCCATATTCATTGATATTAAAACATGGTTGTCAGATGGTTTTGCAAAAGATTTGGTTTTTAATTGTTGGATGCACATTCACATTTCCTTTCAAAACAAACATACAGGTGAAATTTACAAAGTCAAAATCAACCTGTACAAAGTCTGACTGGAAAGTGGAAACTCAACAATATTTTTTGGTTTGCATGCTCTACTTGTCTTATCATATAGCTTGTTCAAATACGAGTTACTGTGTGTGGCGTGTGCCCTACACGCTGATGATAAAACTCTACTTTTACCATTTACACTGTGAGGGCAGGGCCAAGTAGTTCTGATTAAACAGCAATGCTGCCTACCTTGCCATCCTGCGACAACAGTATTGAATCGCTTTTGATGTCCCTGTGGATCACGCCTTGAGAGTGGAGAAACGCAAGAGCCTTTAAACAGGACTTGCATACTGTCGCAATTTGATCTTCTTCCATTCTGAAACAATAATAAAGAACAATTACGCGAGTGTTACACTGTGAAGTGCAACCATAAGAGATTTAAATGCAATGCCACAATTGGCCTTCGTGAAAACACTGTATAGCTCAACTGCATGATGACTATCATTGCCCGATGCGCTTAAATACACAAACTATTCTAGGTAATAACACTAAACCTACCGTGTATGTGTCACAATATCTGTGAGGGCGCCACCTTCCAGAAACTCCATCACAACCCACAATTCATCTCCAACCAAATAGCTGTCATACATCTCAACGATGTTCGGATGATGGTAGTCCCTCATGATCACAACCTATAAAGGACAAAATCATTACATAAAATTATGCAAGTTGTTGAGAAATTTGGCTAATTCATTGGTAAGCATAGCTTTTTTATGCACGACAAACCCTTCGTCAACTTTTCACTTTTATTTTAAAAATATCATATTGTATTCTTACACAAAGAGAAAGTATTAATTACATATGAATGTGTAATCGTTAAAATTAAGGGTGGTTAATATAGTTAGTGTTGTGATACAGCCACCTACCTCATTAAACAGCAACTCCCTCCGCTGCTGTTTTCGCAGGTCCATCTTTTTAACTGCCACCTGACGGCCAGTTCCTTTCTCAGTTGCGATGCACACTATTCCAGTTGAGCCTTCGCCTATTTTGATGAAATTTGGCAAGTGCTCCCTAGGGTCACCAGGTGACACCACCATCTGCAGAGCTGCCCGAAACTGTGCACCAACAACATGTGCATCAGCACCAGATACCTTATCTTGAAAGGGCCATGCCAAAGACTAAGAAATATTATTATCTATTACATGAACAGTAATGAGTTACATAATACTATAGTATAGATTCAGTTACATGAATTGAAGAAACTTTTAAATTCACGAACTTGAACACTGTGGTATAACAGAAACAAAATACACAGCTAAAAATTCGATTCTATGAATGGGTTCACATTATTATGGGAATCAAAAATGTTAATTTTGGGAAGATGTATAATGAAGCTTAATTTTAAACATGCACATTCTTTTGCATCTGCAATATGAATTGCTCATCTAAAATTTATAAGAATAGAATTTAGTTATTTAGAATTCCAATTCGCTACTGGGAATTCCAGAAGATCACATGCTTACACACCCATAGTTCATTGGCTGTCTACACATTCATATATTAAAGAACAAGATCTATTTATTACATTTTACAACTTTTCTATGACAAGCAAAAAGTCACATGGTTACATGCAGCACGCTGCAATGCGCAGAGCAGAAGCGATAAGTTACTCTCTCATCTTGATGCTAACATGCACCACGTGCATACGCTGTACCTGTTCATGCGACAGTCTATGCTGCTCGGGAAGCATGCGGTCAGTTCTGACAGGGCTGTTAGATTGGGGTTGTTTTCCAGGACTAGTCGGTCTCACCTGCGCCTGCATACCATGCGCATACCCCTGCGGAGAACCCGTCTGTCCATGCTGAAGCAAAATTTCATCCACCGTCACATGTCAGAGCAATGCCAGCCGTAAAAATATGTCGCCGAGTAACTACGTATCCAAAAGTATCGGGCTAATTATTTCTGAAATGCTTCACGGAAACAGGTGTGAAGCTACGCACCTGGTTGGACAATTGTAGCGGCACCGGTTTCTGCTGCGGTCCCCCTTGTATTGCCTTTTGCTGAACTCTTATCGCAGCTGCCATTTGTTGGTCGGAATGGAGGTCGTGGCGATGCTGGCCAGCAGATGGTGCCACCATCTCCTGTCTGTGTGGTTCAGAGTGAGCGGCAGTGAGGGGATGGAAATCACGCTGTGGGGACATGTTGCGGCCATGCTGGTCGATGGGTGATGCCATGTACACTCCCTGATTGACATAGGCGGGCCGCTGCTGCGCTTCGCTCTGCGGTGCGCTCATGCGCGCCACTTCTCCGGGCCGGTCACCAGGGCGCGCTTGTGATGCCTGCCTCGCTACGTTGTGGGGAATGTTTTCGCTGGAAACAGAGGGATGAGAACCAGGATGCTGGCTGCCAAAGCTCGTGGCAGCCGGCATGGTGGGGGTGTTCGAACCCTGCCAAGAATTATCCTCCCCAAACTGTGGCGTGGCGGTCCGGTGCGCGCCTGCTTTCGGGGCCGGCTGGGGCGGATGGCCGCGGTGGTAGTTTGCTTCGGGGTAATGTGAATGCGGCGCGTCGTTAATGTCTGTATATTCCCGTGCTGGCGCAGAAGTGGGTGTCCTGGGCTGACCAGGGAACTGATTGGCAGCAGGCGAGTCTGTGGATGGATGATACTTGTCACCATGGTAGTTCTGGCCATCTGCTGGAGACGACTTCGATTGGTGTTGATGAGGGAAGAACTGTTGTTGCGGTGAGGTCGAAGTGCGCGGGTGCCCACGCTCAGGAAAGTACTTTCCTGAATCACGTTTTAATGAATCGTCGGGTTTTGGTTGGAACCTGCACATGAAAAAAAGTGATATGTTCACTACAAGCGTCACTGATAGCAAAAAACAGACAGTCACTATTGACCTTGACAGTAAAAAAGAGCTAGACCTGCATAAGTACCTTTCATAAAAACAAGCACGTCCACACTGTTATAACTAAAAGAAAATTAGTTATCTTAACACGCATACAGCTGCGTTGCAGTACACATGCTAATAGTATCATGTATTGTGTCACATACACTATGTGGTTCAACAGACGGTGCACCGGTGAATCATAACACAACTAATGCATGTGATATGAAATAAAGTAACTAGGCACCAGAATCTATTTGCTTGTCTGTACAGAGCCAACGGCTACACACCTAGGTGGGTATTTGGATGTTGGAGGAGGCTCCCTGCCAGATGGTGGCGCTCTAGTGGAAGAGTACATAGCGGGGTGGGAGCGGTTGTTGTGCTCCCACTCTCTCCTGTCATACTCTTTGTTTGTTTCATCTTGGTGGTACGATGGAGCTGCATTATGGTTTCTGCAGGGATAAACTAACACTTATAGAGCACGAGGGGAAAACAATTATATTATGATATGGTTGACATGTCAAAACAAAACAAGGTGGAAGTTGCATGTGCAGTAAAAAATTTTGTGTGCAGTAAAAAATTTTGTGTGTGCAGTAACAATTATTGCATAAGCAGTAACAATCGTTGCATGTACAGTAACAGTTGCTGTGTATGCAGGTACAACTGTAGCAATGGATCATCGAGCTCATAGCCTGTTGCCAAAGACAGAAAAAAGTGCCAACACATGATGCAAAGCTATAACACATGAAACACTACATGCAGTTCACCAAAATACACATTCATTACTTGTTCAGAAATGCTAATGTTTCACAACAGTATGCATGCCACGTGTAATCCTTATCATAAGATAAAAGACAGTGTAAGATATAGCAAGATGCATTTCGTACCTGTACACGTCAGAAGGCACATTCGGAGGTTTGTGACTCGGGTACTGTGAGCGCCCCACTAGAGGGGGTGGTCCGTCAGGATGTTCTTGCACTGGTGAAGGAATCTGATGAGGCATCACTGAAATACGTAGTATTAAAACACTTAAAAACTTGCACATTTTTACATGTGCATAAATATTCTTTCACTTCGAGAGTAACCTACACAGCATCCTGTTATCTCGCCTTGGAATACGGCTTTCTTTCTAACCAGCTGTAACATACACATAACTGAGAGACAATTACCTGTATACATTATAAATAACATATGATAAATAATGATAATTTGAAATGAGTGAAACAAAGAAATCTGCATGAAATGTAACAGGAGCCAAGAGACGTTGTGTTTAGCTGCTGCAACACCTCTCACAAAATATACACAGTTATGGAGGTTAAAGTGCTATGGGTGCAACATCCTGTTTTTGTCAAAGGATATCCTGTCAGTGAATGATTTTGGGTAAGGTTATATGAGGTTACCATGACCTGCACTAAGTATTCAGCATCAAAATACATGTTCGGCATGATGAGATAGCAAATCAATGTAATTAACATAAACTTAAAACTATATTAACTTTATTTGGACTTTTTTTTAACTTTTTAACTATTTTAACTATATTTGGACTTAAAATGAACTTACATCATGTAGTAGATAGTAGCTCATGTTTGCTCATATATAAAACATTTAGATAATAAAGTTTTCAGATACCAACTATTATACTATGCAACTGACATCACATGACAGTATATGGAATATCAATCGATTTCACTATGCTATTAACAATTTACTTGTCCTTAAAACCTCTAGCATGACATCATTTTGTCTAAATTTAGTTGGAAATTATGCCTTTATTTTGACTTTCTCGACTAGTAGAATCAAGCGAAGTTATACTTTGTCAGCAACAATATATGCAATACTGCTCACCACGATGGCGTGTAGGGGGGCTGTCTTTCCGCAGTGAGTTTGATCGTATGACACTCATGCTACGTAGATCTGGACCACGTTGGTACACGCCATTAGGCGGTTCTTGTGATTGGCCCCGAATAATTTCCTTGATATAGTAAAACAGAGATAATAATATAAATGTAAGATGAATTAACATATGTATTGCACACGATATTTGTAATAGGCTAGCTTATTAAAGGCATACTAGGCCCATTGATTATGCAATGTTGACGAATGCTAGAGTAACTGGCACCTTGTGTAGTTAATAAGTATATAACCAGTAGCCAAATGCGTATTAGTTTGTCCAATATCACTGCTGGTTACATTACAAGCAAGACTTGATATCGGTTGTTGATATTCATTTACGTGCCGTAAATGTCATCCAGGAGTCAAGCAATGACGTAAACATTCGTGCGGCCCATATGTTTTGGACGCCAGATGAAATGGAGGTGTCAGCGGTGTAACCACTTCCACGGACTAAACATGGAAATGGAGTAAAACACACGTACTAATCACGAACGCACATGGACAGCCCTGACAAAAAGTTTCCTTATCACAGGACTAACTCATTCCACCCCGTCCGTGTTTACGAAATACTGATGATCAGCATTGCGTACGGCCGAGCATCGTGTGCAAAAATGTCCGGCGTGCATATAAATCTGTATCACACCCGCTTCCGCCGCGGTTTGAAACTGTAAACAACTGATTTCTTGGACTGCGGATTTCAATTAGACATTTCTTAGTAACCAGCAGTGATATTGGAGAAACTAATACGCATTTAGATGCAAGGTTACGTACTTATTAACTACACAAGGTGCCAGTTACTCTAGCATTCGTCAACATTGCATAATCAATGGGCCTATTATTCCTTTAATGGACTCGCTGTGTCACCTTTACAGATAATTAAATCTAATGGAATTAGACTAATGGATCAAAAGTGTCTTGTATGGATAATATGTACATGAGCCTCAAGCATGTAGAAGCTTAGCAAAGCAATTTAAACACGAAAGATGTTGATAAAGCTTACGTACAGTATTACATTATTCATATACACGGCACATCGGCTGGGCATGATGACATGTGTGAAATAAATACTGCTATAAAAATAAGAAGCTTATTGGTGCTTCCTACTACATCCTTGTAATGTTTGGTGGATAAAAACCAGCAATACGAGCATTATTAAAAATCATTTAATAAGATAGTTACAACATATTACCAAATGGAAAATGATATACCTTTGTAATTGGCGTGATGCAGGAAGGATCTACAATTGGTTTTGGTCGCTCCTTTACTTCTGAGTTGACAACACTTTGCCATTGTCGTGGGAGACCAACAAACTTGCCCTGTTCTGAGTCAAAACCTGAAAAAATGCACACATGCAGTTTTAGATGTACTAGGAAAAGATGCCTTATTGTTCTATTCTGCTATTTCTAATAATCATATAAATACAATCAACACATATAATTGAAAATATTAATAAAAATATGTGCAGACTATTTCTCAAACTCATTTTCTCACTAAAATACTAGAATAAAATCATCATATAATATTGCAACTGTTACTTGTAATGTTCATATAATTTTGGTTAATTATTATTGCATACCTGTATGAACTTTGTGTTGAAAGTTCAAGGGTCCAGAAATGACGGGTCGCTTTGCTTTCTTCTTGCCCCCAAACATAGCTGATGCTATGCCAAACACAGCAACGAACCTACCACCTGCAATATATAAATACACAGTTGATATACATGTCCTATATTTAAAATGTAGACATAAATACCCTTAGTATGCACCTATATTCTATTCGTTTGAATGTCAAACTATTTCTGGCACACTCAACAGAGGATTATACAGCTTATTGAATCAGCTGCTATCTGATACCTATAACCAGAATTCACACTAAAGACCAGCCTATCCAAGACACTATGTACAGCATCCAGCCAATAATGTTGCATTTGCTCTTCCATAATGGTACGTGGCTAACAATAAAACATGCCATTGCCATGTCCAAGTTTTACTGGAGAATTATACAGTGTGACCTGTCATGGGACACGTTGAGGCCAGTAGCAGCGGACCAACGGCATTGGAGATCTCTTATCACTGCCTTATGTGCCATCTAGGCACACACGAGGGATAACCATAACCATACCCTGCTACCACGCAAACTATGTAGTTTACATTTGCAGTAGATTTTAAAAGTGATAGTAGCTGCGTACCAAAATTCAAAACTTGCCAAATGCCAATTGATGTGTTGTATCAAACTATGAAATAGTAACAAATGAAAAAATTACATGGTTTCTAGAGGTTCCCACATATTATTTGGCATAGAAACATTACAAACTCTTACTCTCTCAGAAGTTTGTGAGGTTCGTGAACTATCATTGTACCCACTTACATGTGAATTGCAAGGAAAATATTGCTATCTTAGGAATAAGATTAATCATAGTTTGTGGAAATTGCTCAACGTGTTATTTGTTTTCTGGTTCACTTTGAAAAGTCAATCACCACTGTTAATGTAAAGTGTATCCTCTCTTTACATCCTCTATCATTATATGACTATATGTATAAAGGGACTTCAGGTTAGTTTGCAGGAATCAATCCCTGATGTATACATAACGGTGGAATCCTATCAATCGGTTAGCTTTATAATTAGTAAATTTGTATAAGTAATAAGTAAATAAGTAACTCATGTCGTTTTGGGTTTCCCACATGCCGATCATATGGAAGTTCCCCTTTGATTGTTTATTTTGCTTGCCTCATGAAATTAACAGCATCTAAAGCAAACTAATGCTTAAATTTTAATTGGTGGAAGAGCATAATGTAAAGCAGGGAATGCAAATGTAAGTTTTCTCTATTTCACAAATTGTCTGATTATGACATGAATACTGAGGCAACTACCAGTTTTATGTGAGAATACACAGGCACTTGGAGCGTTTGTTTCAATAATAAAATTATAGTGAATAACAGGGTGAAAAACTGATAATTGGAAGCACTGGTCCTGGTCAGTAGGCACTGATCCAGGATTTCTGTCGTAGCAAAGTGAATGACTCGGATGTGGGGACGTTTTTATAGGGGGAGGGGGGAGGGTGCAATTTGGTGATGTGCATTCTAAGGTACTCTTAATAATAAATGGAATACGATATATCTTACTATAAATTGGGGATTTTCTGTGTGTGTGTGTGTGTGTCTGGCTATACGTTTCCGCACCGCTCAACGGATCCTTTCCAAACTTGGTCGGAACATTCTACAGATCATGACACGTTGCATGGGCTATTTTTTTTCACAATTTCATTTTTTTCACATTCCACGTTTAAAAACATTAAAATAGTGCGAAATGTTTGCACCGAACGCTGGGCTCTAATGAAAACAAACCGCGCCACCTATCGGATCTTATATGAATTAATATATAGTTTTAACTAAAGATCGTATAGTGCCGGAGGCACAAGATAAACCACTCTCCAATCATAGCGTAGTAGGTCATGGGTCGCCACAACCGCCATTTTAGGAAGCAAGTTCACACGAAGTTCCCTGATGTTGCTGTATCTGCTACTGTGCAACTGTCTGCTGTGTGCTGTCAGCTCAGCTT